CGGAAAAATTTCACTCCGAGGAATAGCGAACTTCACTCTTCTCCGTTTAGCTACCTTTGAACAGGCGGGCCTTCGCTTGGCGCACGAGTCTGATGGTCCGTTTCACACGGACGACGGAATAGATGCCACTTAGCAGAACCCCTTGTCCGGCCTTGCGATAGCCGAACCGAAGATTAAAATCCAGCCCGTACAAAAAAAGCGCAAAGCGCTGGAAATCCAACGCGAACTCACATTAATTAAATAATTACAATATAAAACTAAATTCAATTATTACCTTTTTTGTACAAAATTCACTAAACAAAACGAACAGACTACGCGGTATTCAAAAAAACTACCTTAGCTACACTGTACAAAGAAAGAAAACGTCTTAATAAAACTTCTGAAAATAAAACTCACTCACTAAGTTTAACTACCTTTTAAGGCAAGGCTAAAGGCACAAACAATTTTTAACGAGAACTTTATTCGCGCACTTCTGTTCACCAGCCGATTCGAAAGCGAAATGGACGAGTCAGAGTACCTTTCGCGGGGAAGAAAGTTCCTAATGACATTCTTCTTTAGAAATTAAGGTTGTCTTTTAAAAGCGATTCTTTTATTCAAAAATTGCGCCAAACTAATCGAATGGCGAAGTATTCCATGACGCCTTCCGCAAGCCTGTGCAATAAAAGCTACTATCTATGAAGATGAGCTTTTTATAGCAAAAGTTTTATCCAGGACACCTAACCATAAATAACGCGTAACTTCGATATATAACTTTATGAAACGCACGAAATATTTCACTACTGAATGAAATCCAAATTGAAATTTAAATAATGGAATGAATTTTATTTTAAATTTAGTTGAACTTAATCGATAAAATATTTACAGAAAAACAAACCGCACAGCGTTACAACATCTCTAATCACGAGGGAAGTAAAGCCGTTGGTCCCCGGTTCATGAGTTGATGGGTCGATAGGTAGGGTCCAGGTGTATGAGCTGCCTCCTTGGCATCGGTAGCATTGGTGCTCAGCACGGAAAACAAGATCGACGGAAAACAAATCAAGGAAAAAGAAACTCAGCTGCCCCTGGCCCAATTTCAAATTTTTATCACCAATAGATCAGCAATATTTCTACGCATCGATTGCAATGCTTTCTACAGTTTATTTTCCACAAGAAACTATTGAAAAATTAGTAAATGTCCAGCATTGTCCAAAAGCGTCGACCAATTACGTACATGCATATGCTGCTTTCCCAACACAGTCATCAGATAATCATTCCTAGACGAAGCATCTCCATGTAGCATTACGACGAGGCTCGGGAGCTCAGTGGTTACCGTTTCTGCTTACTGAGCAGAAGGTCAGGGTTCAATACCAGGCCCATCCCCATCCTTGCAATTTTTCACTTTGCCTTATCCTATCCCCACTAGATATAAATAAAAACAAATTCTGCTTTAACCGATCGCATCACTTACCACATGAATCCTGATCTAAAAATAACCTACCTCACTAACACAACTATCCTTCCCGAGACAGCCGTGGAGATTTTGAGGAATTCTTGGTCTCTAGTAACAATCGCACTATGCAAGTTGATTAGTTCTGATCATTCACGGAGGAACGTTAACTCGACGGCAAACATTCATTGATACCATTGTTGTTGTGGATGATAGAAGAGAATAGCAGAAATAGTGCGAAATAGGTTAGTGAAGCCATGGTGATCACAAAAGAGGAAACCGATAGAGAATTGGCTTTCACCCTTCTGCTTCTAAGCCCCTTACAGTCATCGTCACATCAATGAAAACTAGCATCGCACCGCTTTTGGTTCTTGGGTTACACTTGCTGGTTGCAATTTTAAGATCATGATTCACTGTGATGCGATCAGTGAAAGCAGCAGAAATTTCCTTCCCAACTATTATGTGGAATCTTTTAATGGCTCTGAAAAGGGCCAGTTTTGTTAGAATTCGACGGAGAAATTAAGAGCGTTCACCACGAATACGACAGGCCAGCTGAATGTCATATGGCATAATTGTGACACGCTTGAAGTGGATGGCGCACAGGTTGGTATCTTCGAACAGACCGACCAGATAGGCCTCACTGGATTCCTGCAACGGCCGAGCTCTGGAAGCGCAGATCGGTCTTGAAGTCCTGGGCGATTTCAGGAGAAGCCATTCCTCCGGTGGACTTATGAGCGGTCTGCTTGGTACGAGATATTGTGCTTAGTTGCGATGTTACGATGAATCGAACACGTTGAATAAAAATGTCAACCGCTTTCTCCTCTATTTCATAATATACTTTTGTAATGTTCAGCCAATCATAAACGATAAAAGAACAAAAATGCAACAAATTACAAGAATAATTTAGCCTTACAGTAGGTATAAATGAGGTATTCATGGTCAAAATAAGCATCATTCTTTGTTAGACTGTCAAGCAGGTCAGAATGTATTGAGCTCGCTCTCTAGAGTTATAAGGATTTTTTTTTTCGTATCCTTTTCCTGTCAACCGTACCCGAAGGCAGCTTAAACAGCATAAACATTGCCTGGACGTGGCAAGGGAGGCAAAGGACTCGGCGAAGGAGGAGCCAAGCGTCATCGTAAGGTGTTGCATGATAACTTACGCATCTCCGGTCTGATCTACGAGGAAATCCGAGGTGTGCTGAAGGTGTTGCTGGAAAACGTCATTCGTGACGCTGTTACCTACTCTGAAGACGCCAAGCGGAAGACCGTTACCGCAATGTACGTAGTGTACGCTCTGAAGCATCAGGGACGCACCCTGTATGGTTTCGGAGGTCAATAACTAATTACTAAACTTGGAATGAATGAAATTCCTGGAACCAGCAAAATGGTAGCAACCAAGCTTCTAATCCTGAAGCAACTGGGCTGACTCTCTGAGTGCCCATTTCTCGTAGCAAAGTTCGTTGTCTTTCCAACCACCGGGTCAACCCGTGTCCAGCAGTAGCCGGGCCGAGACTCTTCCAAAAGCCCATTCGTCGTTGAGGTATCCTTCACTGCGACCTTTCAACCAGTTGCAGCCACCTAGTCAACTCGTGTCCAGCAGCAGCCGCGCCGAGACTCTTCCGATTGCCCATTAACAGTAGCAAGGTTGAGGTTTCCCTCACTGCTGCCTTGCAACCTGTCGCAGACACCAGTACAACCCCTGTCCAGCAGCAGACGGGCCGAGACTCTTGCGAGTGTCCAATCATTGAACCGAAGAATATGGGATTGTCCGATCCGATGTGCTGATCCAGCTGCCTACACGTCATCATCATCTTCCAAAGACTTTAAGCCTGTACTACCATCGGCCCTTTTCAGAGTCACCAACATTTTCCAAAAGAGTTAAGTTTCTGAACATGTCCCAACCAAAATTCATATCAAAATGTTCTTTTCAGGGCAATCATAGTCATACTAAAGAGTATAAACAGAGAGAACCCCGATCAAATTCCTATTCATACACAAAACACAAGCTCCTGCTGCAGTTATCAAATAACATTTATTATATACAGGGCGATTCAGAATAACTGTCACCGATTTCACAAATATGCAATTCTCAATGGGTAAAATGGGTATATGTTCAAATATTTTTGTTTTAAGTGTGTACAAATATCAGCTTGTATTGATAGTAGGATTTGAAATTTCATTCGTTTGTGATTTCAAGCAGCCATTGACGTCAAAATGGAGAATGGCATACCAGGACTCAAAAAGTGCTAGAACTAAAGCGTGCGTGCCAGCTGTGGTTAATTTTCATGACAAATGTGGCTGATAATTAAGGTAAAGGGAGAGAGATTTGAAATAAACTATGCTTAGTTGAAGATTATATATGTAGAATATCTGGAATATAATGATATCAAAAATTAATTCAAGCGTTCAATCGTTATGACCATTTTAAAAAGGGACAGTTATTCCGAATCACCCTGTAAAACCACGTTGTCCTACGTCACCATTGCATACAACCCCATAGGGCTTTACCTTGTAGTTTTTTTTTTCCTCTGTTCGGCACCTAACACTACTGCGACCAGTAATTTGATCTATTGTATTAAATCCCGTGTCCTTAGTTTAGTGCATGTCGCATTTACTCCATCACTATTGAGAAATGATGAACTATTTGATTTTTTTTACAATTATCATTCTTGCATTTATCGCAAGGATCCTACTCTAATTGAAAGGTCCCGCTATTTATACCCTTCGGAGTGTTGGAATACCCGCCAAAGGCGCGCCCCTTTGTCAAAATTGGATTCCTTAGCAATAACATTAAGTAATGACACCGAACCCTAGTCTTAACCACTTCAAACTAGAGAACAATGAATAGAAGATTAGGAACCACATAGATGAAGACTAACTAACTCATTTTTTCCTTGTTTCAAGATCATCCTCGGTGGACAAAGCCGAGTCTTGTCACTATCAACAAGGCATAAAAAGTAACAAGGACTAAGATGTGTTCCTTTGATTACTGAAAAATCCTGCTCTCCTGGTTTGAAGTAGTCAGGACTAGGAATCGGTGGTAGATCTTACATCCCGTAACGTACCACGAAAAGGTGATCTACCCACGTTACGGGGCCTTGTAGTTTTTCCATTTTTCAGCAAAAATTACGTTCAGAACTGATTGTTCAAATTAGGCCAAAACAATCGAAAATGAATGTGTTTTCTTCACAGCCTTTAACATGGATACTAAAGCTACTAATACCATATAACAAATTTAAAAAATATTGTTTGATGAGTACAAAAAGTTCGAAAAACCTGTTTTGTCACACTATCCAAAGTTTATAAGAAGACCAAAATCGAAGATCATAAAAGTACCTAGCAGAATTATCTTTTATTAGTGGGTCTACTTACCTCAAATTGTAGGACTACAGTACTCTAACTGCACTGGTCGGTGAATTACTCCCGTTTCCGTCAATGAATGACACCGCATCAGCTTTCTTGCAGAATACACTCGCAAAGGTCAAGATTGGGGATTTTTGTTTTGTTTTCGTTTCCACATTTCACCACCATTACTCCCTGGTCGGAAGTAGAGCGATTAGATGCCGCATTAAGTCAGTCAGTAGTACGATGAGTTTGGCATCAACGAGTGGCCTGATAGCTTGTTGCTTCTTGCTGTGAAAACAAAAGTAGTTCGCGATGTTATCACCGTTCACGGTTGTATTGGTAACGGCAGTAGTAGTTTCGAGTGGCCGAAATGCAGCGACGCAATCGCTGCCCGGTAGCTGCATCGTGGAATTTGCGCATCACTCTCACGGCCGAGGTTTTTTGAAGCATACGTTCAACGGCAATCAGTACTGCCAGTTTCTGGGAGTTCGCTATGCGGAACCACCGAAAGGAACGTTGCGATTCGAGGTTTGGAATAGGTTGAAACTCTCAGATAAGAAACGCGCAATACATTGATGGATTTTGCAGAATCCGGTTCTTCTGGCACCTCGTGGCAATCAGAATTTCACCCGGTTGGGAGATGTTTGTCCGCAAGTGGATGACCTAAATGTAGTGACGCAGATTTTAGGTGATGAGGACTGCCTATTTTTGGATGTTTATCGCCCGTTCGGGAGGGTTGCCAGTGGCGTACGGAAACTACCGGTCTTGGTGTTCATCCATGGTGGAAGCTTCTCGGTTGGGTCATCTTCAAGTGACTTCCACGGAGTTGATCTGCTGATCGATAGTGTAAGTATGGAAAGTGATTGGCTGAAAAATTGTTTTTTGAAGGCATTCGCCAATTGCAGGGAATCATCATTGTGAGCGTTCAATACCGATTGGATCAGCTGGGATTCCTTCGATCGGATCAGTTTAACATCAGTGGTAACTTTGGGCTTAAAGATCAACGAACTGCCCTGCAATGGGTTCAGCGGTACATTCACCATTTTGGAGGAGATCCCGGAAGAGTAACGCTCATGGGTCACAGTGCTGGAGCTGCTTCCGTAACGTACCATCTGTACTCGGAGAACTCCAAAGGACTGTTTCATCAAGCATTTGCCCTGGGTGGATCGATGCTGGCACCCTGGGCTTTCCTGTACGATGCAGACCTCTACTCGCGTCAGTACTTTCGAGAGCTGAACATAACTTCAGTAGAACAGCTTAAATCTATTGACTTCAAAACCCTATGGAACAGAGATATCGTGTACAAGTTCGCAACAGTAAACTACGGATTTTGCGTTCCCAGTGCGGAGTTGGATGCTCCGGATGCAGTTGTGACTCGATCTCCACAGGAGTTGATCCGTTCGAAACCAGTCAACGATGTACCACTGTTGTTCGGGCAATCCTCGGAGGAGTTTGAACTATTCCTCAGCTACGTGGATGACTATTGGATGGGAGAAAATTTCCCGAATTTCCAGAATGAAACCCTGAAGAGCTACATCGATGCAGTGGTGGACAGAGCTGCAGAGCTTGCGGAACGGAATGGTGTCGAACTGGACAAGAATATTTTCTACCTGGAGTTGGCTAACACGGCCAATTGGTTCTTCCCAAACAAGCACCTACTGGAGGAGTACTCCAAGTGGGTTTCAAGTGCTACGTACTTTTTCCGATTCCAGTTCGATGGTAAATTTGGGTGGTACAAGAAAGATTTCCAGAACAACAAAGAGGCAATCAAACACTACGGAGCAATTCATGGCGATGAGCTGGGGTACATATTCACGCCCTACAATGTACGGGAGGCACTGGCGAATCGAAGTGCCTTCAGGGAAGAGTGGCACATTCATGAGCAGACGGTGCAGCTCGTCGCTAATTTTATCAAGCTTGGGTAAATGGTCGTCCTTATTTTGCATATGGCATCAACAAATTTATCTCAATTGCAATTACAGATCACCGAATCACTCGGGATCGAGAGTGATGTGGCCTCCGTACAATGGGAATTTGCCCAGCCCCAAGTACCTGAACATCGACAAATCGTTCGAAATACGATCGGATCAGTGGAGTTTGTATCACTCCTTCTGGGGTGCAATCTACCAGTGTCTGTATCACTACAACTGTAATGACATCAAGGATCTATTGCGGATGGTAGGGAAAGACAAACGGTTAACCAATTAGTGCAATTTAATAAATCTACAATCTTAAAATGATAGCTGTATGGTTGTTTAACTCTTTTTTTTAAGCTCCAATAATTTCCAAAATGGCACCGCGGGTGCTACCCTGACCTTTCCCGAAAAGAGCAACCAACTTTTCAGCACGCCACATTTCATTCACCTACCTTTTGTCTACAACTAAATTACCTCTTCCTCGGCAGCGCAAGTCAAACCCTTTCAAAGTGTTAAACAATTTTCACGGTTTCCACTTTCTAGTTTTCAAGCACTTATCTCCCATTAGCTCCCATCCTCGTCCATCGGCGCACCTAACAAACAATGTTTCACTCCTTGTTTTCCCGAGTCTTGCCGGGCTTTTAACTGAACCCAATGCCAAGCCCCAAGACGAACGGCATGAATAAAACAATTGTATGCGCAAATTGAAAATTGAATTTCAAACAAGAGAGCAGCAGTTCCAGCAAACTTTGCCTCGCCATTTTCGTTCCCTCTGGAATCCGAAGAACCTGATAGTGTGGTGCGCCAAGGGGAATTCTATTGCGGCACCTTCCACCGCTTTCCGCCGGCTCTGAGTGGTAAAGATACACTAAAGCAGTGGAAATTATTCGTCAAACAATTATTCCTAATAATGCACCAAACCGATTCTGGCCTCCCGTCAATCGACCGCTCACCGTGACTTCCCTTTCCTCGGGAAATAGTTTGGTAATAAAGTGCAAAATTAATAAACCAGCACATCGCCCTTGCCGCGTTTCCTCCCATGCTGTTTGAAGTTTGAAGTGGAAACTTAAATGCGATGATACAGTACAAAGGGCAACCGTCGTTCTCTTTGGGAAAAGTTGCGGTAGCACGATTCCACTTTCCATTCCATGAAGGTTGCTTCGGGAGAAAATGTTGAAATTTTTGAAGTCTTTTCAATTTCTGAACGAATGAATTTATAGTTTAATGAAATTCATACTATTTTTTTTTAAATTTGCCAACATTCATAGTAGAGAATCTCTATTAAACAGAAATTTTACTGAGATCTCAGCAAAATTCACAGTGCAGGTTTTGGCCGAAATGGATTGAGAGTGATTGCCCAATATAACCGATCTACCTATAAGGTAACCACTGGATGGTTAAAGCCTCTACAGCAAACCAACATAAACGTTTTGGCTAGCCAATAGTTGGAAAACATTGCGGAGAACAAATTAAGCTTTTAGTGAACATTCCAACGCAAATGAATTCGATTCGAACGGTGATTTTCATTGCAGTGACCATAGTGATAATGAAACAATTGGGTTTTCATCGGTACTGTATTTCCGTTTTATGGTGGGCTGTTTGTTGTGGCCGCTGTGAAGCCATGTTATGACCAATTGGCCTAGCTTTCACATCAAATTTGGATGGAATAAATTTAAAAATTTAAAATAATGAAAATGTTATTCGAATCTTTCAAATACCGGGAAAAAAGTAAGATTAATTAATTTCGAAAGAGCTGGTCATGTTTGAAAGAAGGAAAAATTTCAAAAGATCGTTACGTTTTGATGGAAAACGTAAAAAATAGGAACGGCCAGATTTCAAAAATAGTAAAAATAATCGTTTCATGCTGACAAAAGCTGGGCCTCATATTGACAAGAATCCTACATTTTGCAGCACTGCTCTTATTCACAAGACAGCCTCAAACTTTTTCTCTTTTATAACAAAATTTTACACACTTGAAAACTGACGTGTTTATTTTTACTGCGCGTTTCCTTCGGTGGATTTGGAATTTTTTGCATTAAACATCATTTGTTGGTGCTGTGATTGAGTTTGAAGTGTTCATGGAATTATGCCATAGTGGATTGCCTCCCGGGAGCCCGGTTCTCCGAGTTCGGATGCCACACTTGCAGCGTGTAGTTCTATCGAGAGTCTCGTCGCCGTGGGCCCGGGAAACTGCTGATAATGTGTCCGTCGCGAGTTTTGGTGGTAATTCGGTGGCCGACGTTGCCGTCAGCATTGCCAGATATACCGATTTATCGGTATTTATACCGATTTCCAAACTAGATACCGATATACAGATAAGGTTCCTCAGAATACCGATTTTTAGATTTTATACCGATTTAAATATACCGTTTTTTAAATAATCAAAATTATTATTGCCTACCCGTGCTCGAGTTTCGGAGAAATTTTTTGGGAGAGACTTGTTTCTTTTTGAATACCTCATATTTTTTAAGCCTTCAAAATTCTAAATAATCATCTCCAAAGATGCCTTTTGCTTGACACTCTTTCGATTAATGTTTGCATTTCCTCACCGTTTTGGCTACCCATCAATCGAGAAATATATTTTAAAAATTATTTAACTTCCAGACGTTTTTATTCTTTTTTAATCTTCCTGAAGTTTCATCCAACTTTCCCTGGAATTTTCTTCCACCTTACTTTGGAAGCTTCGTCAGCCTTCGCTCGATTCTTTAATCTTCTCCCGCCAGTTTTTTCACTTTCCCGGAGCTTCAAGGATGCTATCAGGTTTTTATTGCGGATCCACACTAGCTCCAGGCATATTTAAGAAGTTCTGAAACTTTAGAAAAGTCCAGACTTTTGTGTAAGTTTTGATAAATTAGAGACAGTTTCATTAATTCTGTTAAAATTAAAAAACCCGGACATTTCATAAAAGTCCAGCGAACTCCAGTGAACTTAAGGAAACATCATAAATATTTTAGAAACTTCACAAGTCCATAGGACTTTAGGGAAATTTAATGGTTTTCAGGAACTTTAGTGATGCTCAGAGAACATCAGGACAGATCAATTAATTTCAATGAAATTGCTGAAATTATAAAGGAGTTCCGAGAAACTCCGGTAGTCTTTTTATAATCTGGGAAGTTCCGAGCGCTTCGAGGATGACCAGAGAACTCCAAAACAGCCCCTAATTTCAGGAAAATTACAAGAACTTTTAAGGAATTTCGAGGAATTATGGAATATTCCTAAGTGAATTTCAGGAATGTTCCGAAAACTTCAGGGACATTTCGGAGTCTTCAGGGATGTTTTTTGAATATCAGGATTTTTTTTGGATCATTAGAACATCCCCAGGAATCTCTTTCTTTCTTGTTTCTTTCGACTGTTCCGTGAGCGCTCTGGTTTCCCACTTTCTTCAGATGTTTCTTCCAATCTACCTTAGGAAGTTTCTGCCAGCGTCTCCAGGAGGTTAATTTCTCCCAGAAAATTATTTCGTCTTCTTCTGGAAGTTTGACCATAAGCCAAAGGTTTTTTTGTTCGACTTCTATTGGAAGGTTAGGAAATTTACTTCCGGTTTCCGAAATTTTCTGGCTTCCTTTGGATGCGACATCTGATTTTTTCCGATAGTTTATTTAAATTTTCGCTACAAGTTTCTCAATTCGTGTCTTGAAAGTTTCCCGGAAATTTTTCCAGCTTTTCTCGAACTTCATCCAGAAGAGCTTCTTTCGTCTTTCTCTGGTTGTTTTTTTTTCAGCTCCATTCAGACGCTTATTCAAACATTTCCCGTAGTTTTCTTCCGGAATTTTCCGATCATAGTTCAAAAGCTAAAATTTTGCTTTGTTTAACGACTTTCTCACTGCATCGACTACGATGTAATCTGCCCGACATTTCGGCCATAGGTTGTGACTTTTTTCAAGGGAAAATATTGTTTGTCGTTATTGTCAATAGTTTAGTCTTTATTGTGGCTGATTTTCCATATCTTGGTTGCATTTAATGATCTTTAATTGAAAAAACTACAAGGGACAGCCCTATGGGGTTGTACGCAATAGTGACGTAGGACTACGTGGTCTTATATAATAAATCTTATTTGTCAACTGCAGCAGGAGCTTGTGTTTTGTGCATGAATAGGAATTTGAGCGGGGTTCTCAATGTTCATACTCTTTAGTATGACGCGCTTGACATACATGGCCCACAGTGACTCACGAAGTGCTACTGATTCCGATCAATAGCGGTACGGATTCTTCCTCCTACTATGGATGCTCATGTAGCAGCCTTTCGTTGTGTACTGGAGAACACCACCACTCACCATCACCATATTTTGTCGTAGAGTGTTGTGGTTTTTAGAAACTTGATGAGCCTTGAGGGATCGTTTTTGCAGATGTATAAACCATGACTTTCGGAATGGTTGTATTCGTGATCCAATTTGGAAGACATTGTTTCGGGGCATCGCTTCATTTGAATAGATGTTTGTTAAGTCTGTCGTAGAAAGGGTGGCCAGATTATTTTTTTTTCGTGATCGGTAGCTTTTCAAAACTTTTATCGGTAGTTATCGGTAGGCCGTCTTAAGAAGGCTTCCTGAAACTTAAAACCTTTGTAAGCGAGGGAAGGATAAAAAAACAATCACGCGCAATTTTGGACTTTTGAACCATCAGCCCTTCAACTTCACACATTGGATAGTCTAATCTAGAGTCGGTGTATAAAGAGTCACGCCAAGAGTAAAGCAAAGTCTACATATTGAACTGTCCTCTGGGTGAACTGGGCCTCCCTTAGCTCAGTCGGTAAAGGCGCAGCTACAAAGCAAGACCATGCTGGAGGTGGCTGGGTTCAATTCCCAGGCCGGTCTAGGAATTTTTCGGGTTGGAAAATTTCTTGACTTCCCTGGGCATAGAAGTATGATTGGACTTGGAACCACACAATTATACCAATGCAAAAATGGTACAGGCATCGAAAACTCTCAATTAATAACAGTGGAAGTGCATCTAGAACACTAAGTTGAGAGCCGCAATAAGCTAATATGCAATATGCAATAAGCTTGAAAAGCGAAGAAGAAGAAGAAAAAGATATATTGAACTGTCAAACCGGCTACCTATCGTGCAAAGTACACTGCAAAACTACCCAAAATTAAGTACTTTTCCGTCAATTCCGGGGTTCCAATAACCCAAATTTGAGTAAATCGCATATAGTAGTTTGGAAACTTAACACCTGCAAAAAAATACTTACTCTTAAGTATAATCTACCCAAAATTAAGTTAAATTCCCGTAGATTTTAGAATATGCAATTTACCCAAAAGTAACATATTGGGATGAACTATATCGTTGGGTCGTGTCTCTCGTTCCTGTTTTGACAACAATAAAGAGTG